GTAGACCTACATGATTCAAATTCGGTAAAGTTGATTTCTTCGTCAACTTACTATTATGAATTAATTTTCGCCATGAAACATTGAAAATTATATCTTCTTTTCGTATAAATATACTTTTGGAATGATTAAATGAAACGGGGGTTCAAACAACTGCACCTTAGCCGAACCAAATGTTCCCCGTTATTTAAGAACATCAAAATACTTTTACTCAACGGCTTTTACGGAGAAATTTTGAATACTTCAACCTTTTTCAATGTAACGACCTTTCAAAACAAGGCGTTATATGGGGAGTGGTCGAAAAAGTGGACCGATACGAAGTTTTTTAACCACGCGTCCACAGGTCAAGACACGTCACCAAATTCATCAAAATATTTTAAAAATTGCAACCTGCTTGTTGCACTCAAAAATACATGCAAAGACATCATCACAGGCATTAATAATCGCCAATAATCCGATAAAAATAGATTTAAATATAAATTTTGTTGTATGTGCTTCTAATCGATACAAGGATTATTTCTATTTGCCTTTCAATATGTTTGAAATATATAAATATAATTCATCCTAAAAGTGAGCAATGGATGTTTGCTTTTACTTCTTACAATTGATCGATTTTTATAAATGTCATGACAAAATAATTTCAATAAACTACTTTCAGAATCGACAATGCATGCTTGATTTAATTCTAAATATTCTCTTCTCAATACCATTTACTCTCCATTACAGTACAGTTCAGTTAATAATGAAATTTCTATTACAATAAAATTATTTTCTATACTTGCTGAATTTCCATTAGAGAGTATCCTAAAATTTATGGTTTATGTAAATAACGTTTGCATATGCCAGTGCATTCGAGAGTTATTAGCCTTTAATGAAAATTGAATGAAAATCAGCTGGTAACTGGCATTTTGTTATTGATCTTTCGTGACATTTTGTTTTTTTTTTTTTTTTGATTTTACTGAGCAATTACGTAAAACGCTTTTAAGCAATTTCTGGATATTAATATTAAATAAAAAATAATAACTTAATTAAAGAATTTTTATTTAAACTTATAAAGCTCAGAGAAGGCATGTTGGTCGCAAATACATTGCAAATTTTCATATTTACTATCTCTTGCAAAAACCAAAAATGGAGCTGCAAGCTAGGATTAGCTCCCCTGTGCATATCAAGGATTTTATTTTTGGAAATACGTGTCTTATCATTTGGTAACTAATAAATTCTTTTCCCTTTTCTGATTTTATCAAACACCTGCATTTATTATTATTACAATGAATTTAGGCAGAGAAATTAATTCTAAGACTAAAGTGTTGAAACACTAGCATCTTATTATTATTATTATTATTATTATTATTAATTTCGCCAGAGAAATAAATTCTAAGACTAAACTCTTAAAAGCACTAGCATCTAAGGCTATCGGCTTTTATTAAAAACTCTACAGCACTTGAGATTCGAACCCACGACCATTGACTTGCTAGTCGAGATTCCTCGCCTTCGGCTACTCAGGCGGAGACTCTCATCTCTTAAGCATCTTAAGCTATAGGCTTTATTGAAAACTCTATCGCACCTGATATTCGATCCCACGACCGTTGGGTTCATAGTAGAGGTCTTTGCTTACTCGGGTTTTCTATTCTTTACAATGTTCTAAAAAAAACAAACAAGAACGTTATAGTCGGGTAACGCCGACTATTGCATACCACTTCGCCTAGGACAGTTATTCGCCTCTTTTGACAATAAGGCTCCAAAAAGTACACATTATTTTCACGCAAAGCGATAATTGTGATGAAAGTCTGCACATTGAAAGGTTAGGTTTTCTCTCGATGTCCGAATTTGCACTTTGTAATAGCGCCTATACTCGTTGGGGTCCAAAAAAAGAAATATACCTCTGGGATCCAAATTCACTACAGTAAATTTTTTTGCTCAAACGCTCCTATGATTTATTAAGATATCATGAGGTATCTTATATGGAGTGTGGCCGAGGAATAGATCCATGTGGTTCTAAATAGATTCACTTAATTTTTTTATTTAATTAATATCATAAACATATTTTCATAAAAACAAATTCACAATTAGCCTTTTTTGGCTTATAAGGGTACACCTTTGGTGAGAATCCTTATATCCAAAAAATAGGCCTACGTAGTCCAAATTCGGTAAGGTATATTTCTTTGTCAATTTGCTATTACGAGCTAATTTTCAACATGAAATTTTGGAAATTCGAAATCTTTACCACATGAAGCTTCCATTTCTGTAAGGACTTAGCCAATTTTGCTAAGAAATTTTGAAAATTGCAATTTTTCGACATATAACGACTTTTGGGAATAGAGCGCTATATGGAAAGCTGTGAAAAAGTGGTCCAATCCGAACCATTTTCAATAGGGTTTGTTATTGGCTCAAAATACGTCACTGTACCAAATTTCATCAAAATATCTCAAAAATTGCGACTTATACCTTATACACAACTATAGGGGGGTATACATCAGACGGACAGACACGCTCAGACCAATTCAACTTATGATTTTGAATCGATCGGAATAATAAGATGCGGGTCTATTTTAAGCTCTTTTGCGTGTTACGTACGTCCGTACTAACTTAATGTACCTCGCACCGCAAGTGGTGTAGGTGGACCCTTGTTTATTTATAAATTCAAACGTAGAATTTCTAATTTGCATGATATCAATTTTTATGCTCATTTAATACGCTATAAGCATTTACTGTCTAAAGAAGTTAGCCCCGTGGCTTAATTCTAGAGACCCAGTTCCTAAGTTCCTCATTTTTCTTTTCTTTAAAAATTATCCATATTATAAGTAAACAAAATAAACTTTTGGCCAATGTGCGTTACAATGTCTACATTTGTTCACAATAATACAAAGTTATACTATAAGGCGCGTGCACGTATTTTAGCTAGTTTTTCATTTGAAAAACGCATTCATTGAGAAAAGTTGTTGCAATATATTAACCAAAATGCTTCCATCATTTTCTATAACATTTTACCATATTTCTGGCAAAATGGTGATATCGTGTCGAAAGCGCTTATATTGGTTTGGCAGTGATTCACCCACGAAGCCATTTTTGCTCTTCTCCAACTTTGCGGACCCGCGTGCTAGACAATGCCATGCTGCATCAATCTGAGCAAGTGGTATTCAGAAGGCTCCATGTCGGGTGGATACGCTAGATCTGGCAGAGCTTCCCATTCGCGTTGCATTCGAGTTTATACCGTCTAAAAAGCCCTTGCAAAGATTTTTATGATTGTCGAGAACAGTAAGGAGATACCTTTAAGAACCCTTCATCTTCCTCAGTTCATAAGGTATTTCCTTAAATATTCAAACACACTTGAGAGGCTTATCGCAATCAAGTAATAGTTTATCTTTTTTCAAAGGCGAAAACTTTGTTCATCAGAAAGGTGGTAATTAGTCGTGTGGCTAACCTTCCTTTCTTCCTTTAACTTTAACAAGGGCCAGCCAAATATTTAGTATAAATACTTACTTCAGTATCTGTTACGTAAGCTAAGGATTTTCATTTCTTCTTATCTTGCCTAAGTTGTGGTAAGCGCAATCAATTTTATAACCATTAAGTATGTGATACTGAGCATTCTACCTAAACAGAAATGAAGAAACAACGCGGTATCCCCTGAGAATGAAATGTTGAAGTGTCTTCATGGATTTTACATATTCGGAAGGCAATATTTCATCTTATATGCATATCCTTGTTTTGTTGAAAGCGAATGCAAGAAAATTATTTTCTTCCTTTTCTTAAAAATCGCTAGAAGAATTATTGTTGAATATTGTAAATCTTCCAATAAATTTCTCATACATAGTGCTGAAATTAATATGCAAATAAAAAAGAACCAAAAAAATGTAACAAGAAGTTTTGTCTAAAAGACAAATATTTTCTTAACCGTTAAAATTTATGAGCGAAAAAAACCTGCACGAAAATACTGAAAATAATAATAAATCTGTGAGAATTTTTACTATTCCATTATACGGTCTTTAGATGCATGAAAATAAAAGTGCTGGCAATTCAAGCAAAGTTGCAGTTTACTTCTTGTTCGCTTGCTCTATGAAGCAAACTTAAGCTAAACAACTAGTTTATGATAACAATTCAGTTGAATGCTGAGAACAATGCTACGTTATACTTTTTTACGCAGTTAAACGTAAATGGATATATTTCCTACAAAAAATCGCGATTATTAAAATATAAATTTTTAAAGTCAACTTTTAGACTGGGATAATTAAGATTTTTAAAGAACGCTTTGTTCGGTGAACAGAAATCTTATTTTTAAAGTCAACTTTTAGACGGGGAAAATTAAGATTTTTAAAGAGCACTTTTGGGTAAATAAAAATCTTAGTTTTAAGAAAAATATATTTTCCGGGATTTTATTTTGCATTTGTGTATTACTCCAGACAAACTCGAAGACTCGTTGAATATAAAATAATGTCATGTTTATGAGCAAGTAATCTGGAAAATGGCCATGTTTTTATTTTTCTTTCGTTCTGTTTTACATTTGCGCACGAAATATTATGGAAATCATTTGCAGAAAAAAAAGACGGGAAAATAAAATCATAATAAAAAACTAGTACTGGCAGAATGGCGCCTTACATATGATATCCAGCAAGTTTTAAAGAAATTTAATTTAGGTTTTAGTTTGGCTCTTCTCTATCTCACTTTTAACGCTCTATTTGGGTAAATAAAGAACAAATAAAAAAAAAAATAAAAAAATTTTTTTTAATAAATTTCACAAAATGCAGATAACAAACAATGTTAGCCAAGTTGGGGCTATAACTGTCAACGGTATTCAAGAGTAAGTTGAAAGTTGAAGAAAGATATAAAACTATTTTGTTCTTGTCATTTTTGCTTAGAGAGAAAGAGACTGCATAAAAAATTACCTAAGCATACGTTTTGCAATTTGTCCGATATTCTTGTAGAAATGTTCTTTTCGTTTACATTTTTTTTATTTCTACTTTTATAAAAATATGTTTTTTTTCTTTCTCTCTTCTTTTCTTTGGCAGACCTTGTGACCGTAATCTAAGAGATGTTGAATTAATATCGTGTCGTTTACGTCGTGTAGAGCCATTATGTCGTCTGCCTAGTTCGGCATTACAACAATTGGCCATGTGCGGCTTTTATGAGGATCTTGAAAAGGGCGTTACATGTAAGTAAATAAATGTTATAGAGAAATTCACTCAAATTTACAATTTGCGCTTTCCGGCTTTCTCTCTCAAAAGGGTAATAAATGCAAAGGCTTTTCAAACATTTGTAACCATTCGAAACATAAAATACGTAAATTTATGTTCGATTACGTTCTAGTGCTCTGAGGAGTAATATTAAAAAAAAAAAAAGAAAAGAAAAACACCTTAAACTAATAAAATTATACATTTAAGGTTTCATTTTATTTATGCTTTGTGGCTTTTAGTGTTTCGTGCTGGGGAACAAGGTCGTTTTTGGTATGCTGTCTTGGGTGGCTCACTTGAAGTACGTTATCATGCTACCGATACCGATGGCAAAGTAAGTAGAAAATGCATAAGAAACTACAATATTTACTTTTATGCATTCATTTAAAATAAATATCAATGTAATAGTAATTGCAAAAAAAAAAAAATTAACCGTTCAAATGGTAAAAATATTCGAAATATTTATGAAAATATTACAATAGAATGCATGGCTTAGAATTTGAAAAAAATACATAACGAATAACAAACAAATAAACAAAATATATCGATATCAGATCAGTTTATAATCAACATCATTAGTAAAATAAGACTTGTATGGTATCCACTTGCGTATTTACACTATGAAATCGTCCCTATGTATGAGGTTAAGTAAGATGCTTGGCATAGTTATAGAGTTGAACTAAAAACCATTTCTTTGCCTACTTTTTTCATAAAGGTAAACATTTTCGTTGCCTACTTTTCAGGAAATTGCATAACTAATTCGTTTGATTTCCTTAGGTACGTTGTTGGGTAATCAATAAAATCTTCTGATGCGAATCTAAAGCATAGCATGTTACGATTAATACATACAACAAGTTATAAAAAAATAGTTGAAAAGGAAAAACTTCTCAGAAAACTCCATTGCCCTACTAACACAACAAACTTTACGTAATTCTTCTTCTTTAATTGCAAGAAACACGAAATTGATTTTAAGATAAATTTAGGACGCTTTTAATTGTGGAATACATTGTAATAGAAAATACTTACATTCCATCAATACAGTGCCCGAAAAAAACTATTTAGATAAGACGTGTTTAGATAAGCCACTAAGTTGGCGCTAATAAAAGTCATTATTTCGTCCTAATGTGCCCACGTCAATGGATTACTTTGTTGCAATAGGTCTCTTTCTTCTTATCTTTTTCTTTTCTATTAAGTTTTTACGAACGTATGATGCACCCAGAAAGATTTGATGTATACTCACCTTTTATTTTTCTGATCGATTCAGAAAAACTTTTGTCAAGCCATTTCAGGTTAAGAATCACTTTCTGAGTTGATCTAAGCTCTTCTCTCCGACGGTCTGTTATGTTTTCTTGTTTCCAATTCACAGCCCGCAGTTTGTAAGACATATTAGGCTAACCTATATCGGCTAAAGACGAACGCTATTGAAAATAGTTCGGATCGGTACACTTTTTCGACCATTCGGCAAACGTGGGTGAGTACTAGTATTTCGGCATCTTGTATTACTGTGAAAACTTTGGACTGACTATGGCAATTTTTGAACTCTCATGAAGAAAATTATATCATAATAGTAATTCAAAAAAAAAAAAAAAAATTAACTGTATCGAATTTGGATCATCTCGGCTTATATTTTGAATCCTACCCCGATAAAGATTTTCACGAAAAGAAGAAGAGAAAAGTCTAAATTTGAAGATGTGATGATGTAAATTGACTTATGATAGCAATTTCATACAAAAATGAAGGGTATAACATTTGAACCATCTACGCCTATTGTTGGACCCCGCGCTATGTAAGGACTAAACTTGTATTTCATTAAGTTGCTGTTTGGACCTGCTTCCCCAGAACTACGCACATGAAAAGTATGTTTTCATATATAAACAAGACATAATTTTTGTGTTCTATAATAAAAATAGGAATGTTGTTAAATAATGTTGTGCACGGTGTTTAGTGGTCGGCCTTGCCCGACTATATGTTCTGACTTAGTTTTTTAATAAAAAAATCAAGTTCACTGAAAATGTTACGAGTCTTTTTTTGCCTAAATATTTTTTAAGCAAAAAATGTTTTTCTATTTTTTCTAGTTTCCTCTCTAAATATTTTTTCATGACCCATTCTATTTCCATAAATTTCCTTAGTTCCTACGCTCTAGTTTTTTTTTTTACAATAACAGAGGTGTTTTGTTTACCGTTGTCGTGATTGCAAAAGCTTGGCGTCATTCACAAATTCTGCATAAGTTATATAGAAATGAAATAATCCTATATAGAAGTAATACAATTTTATATAGAATTGCATTTTTGTAATGAACTCTACATGAAGCGAAACAAAAACATCACTAATAGTGGTGTTAGCGGTTTTTATATGGAAAAGAAAAAATCATTTCTAATAGTAGTAAGCAAAGCAAATGAGAAACCCTTGAAAACGCAATACATTGAACAAAGTATAAAATCGTCAAAGAATTTTTTCATAGTTATAAGCTAGCAAACGGCCTAAGCCATTTTTCCAAACACCGATTAAAACATTCTAGCAAAATTCTTAGGCTCAAGTTTGCATTTCTTCCAGATTTTGCAAATAGCAGAAGTTATCGTTGGAGAGAGCATCTGTACGCAACCTACATCCGTCCAAAAATAAAGTGTAATTTGTTCGTGTAGGCGGGAACCTTCAAAGTTTGTTTGCAGACCTTCCATCGCATACAGCAAAAGGCTCAGATGCTCATTGGCAACGGAAGTCTGTCCATAGTCGATATCTGTAAGCATCGGCCTAATGTAGGCTGTGTTGTGCTTATATACAGGTACATAAATCTACGGAGATAAAAGAGATTTGTCCGCCAATTAAGAGGATGAGCGTTTCTACCCTCCCGTCCTAGAGTTATCTGCAGACCGCACAACCGTCGTTCGTTAACCATTCTGTCCGCTTTTCCAACAACCTGTTAGCAGGTTGCCTTTTCTATCATATACCTGATGTCTCCATTTTCAAGATGAATGGAAACTTTTAGGAAATTTTATTTTTTATAGAATTAGGATGGTTTCATATAAGCTTAGTTTATAAGACATCTGACGTTCGCGTCAATATTACAAGGGTGGCAGGATATAAACTTAAAATACGTTGCAGTTTACTGCGTCCACTCATCGAACGACTAAGAGGACAATATTTAAATATGGGCAAAATACGATCTCATGAACACTTTCACACAAACAACGGATTGATAACTTGCCAAACAGTGGAGATATTTCTGAAAAGACAGTAAACGTATATTCAACAGAACATCTAGAAGCTCAGTTTAATTTTTTTCTGACCTAAACTTTAGCTTTTTCTTAGCTTTTATAACCGTGACAATCCTAGTCCAATAAAAGCGATTTGGCAAGAATAAAGGGTGTGCGTGATCGGTATCATGGCAACTAGAGTAGATAGAATAAAATCGAGTCTAGCCATTGGGAGCTTTTTCAAATAATCTAAATAGAACATAAGCCTTGTAAGCAATTTTTTCAAAACTTGAAGACATAATCCTTGTAAGAATTTTTTTGAAACTTGAAAAAATCGAGATCAACCCATTTAATGTGCTAAGTCAATATAATTGACTAACTAAACTAAGCAGAGGAAAAATTTTGCTACTGCTTTGAATATTTATTAATTCAATAAAACATTATTGTGCACTATTGTACAGTGAGTTTTTATTTAATTTTAAAACATTTAAGGAAATTAGTCTATTGATTATTTTATTTTCAGTCTACACATCATCTAAATGTTGAACAATTTTATTCAAATTTAGAACAACGCCATTCTGCGAAAGCCGTAGCCGTATTTGTTACTTGATGCACGTCGTGAATATGCTACAAGCACTTTGCTCTCATACATGCTGGATGAGTTGTATTATTTGTTGCAATTTTTAATGATATTGAAATTGTATATGAAGGCAATTTATTTCTCGCTACCGAGAAATGCAAGTGTGATGATGTTGCGAGGCGGTTCGTGACGTTCAAGTATGCACTAAGTTAGAAGATTAATTGAATGTAAATTCAATTAATTCGTAATAGTAAAGACGGTGCTTCTCAATGTCGAAACACAAGGATTTGAATTAAAGAAGCGGTTTTTCGTATTCTTCATTTATTACCTCCCGTGCTGAAGCGACTTTTCGTATTCTTCACATATTACCTCCCGTGCTGAAGCTACTTTTCGTATTCTTCACTTATTACCTCCCGTGCTGAGTAAGCTTTTATCAAAGATAATCTAATTGACTTATCTCTTTATCGATCGTCGAGGGCTGTATTGCTATTACAAAACAGTCTGAAAGTTGAATATACATTCTCATTTCAGAAACAGACGTCGAAGGTTTTTTAATGTGATTCGGCACTTTAAACCTGTTTAACATTGTCTGCATTCTTCGCCGATTACTCGAATCCATTCACTCTTCGTGCTTTCCAACTATTGAAATATCCACCTTTTTCTTTGAACGGAATATTTTGTTTCTTCTTTCGGGGTGGTGCACATAAGTCATTAAATAAAATAATTAAAAATTGGTTTGTGAGGTGAATATGGTCCTGCTGTGAGTTATGAGTCTGTTTACGTCGGTGCGGTTAGTTAATAGATGTTTAGAATGTCATTGGCATGGTTTTGCTAAAAGCTTTTCGGCAAGGCCTTTACTTAGGCAGAAGGCGGGAACTATACTAATTGTTTTACTCTGATTACTTTGACACTTAAAGGAGACTGCACCAATTGAATGCTTGATCCACCTAAAATTCGGAATCGTAGTTGTTAATCCACCTCTCAGTATGTTATTGGGAGTTACGCTTATGAAAAAAGCCTCATATTTGAAATCGAAATCCGCTAGAAACGATCTATCATCTTTCATATTCCCAGGCTTTTCTTTTTCTAGACGTTATTCGATTTTTGGGGAGAACAGCATATGGAAGAGGTTATCATCCTGCACCCTTCGAAAAATTTCCGAAACTTGCACGGGATAAACTGTGCTTGTTTGAAGGGACACACCGTGAACGAAGCTACCTTCTTTCTCTAGCCTAGATATCAAAGCAAGTTTAAACGTTCTCAAACTTTTTCACTCACACACACACACACACACACATCTATTCAGACAATGATTCCTTAGCTAGGTTTTCGGGTTTGTGGTATGATGATGATAAAATGATTAATCGCTTAGCTTTGCAATTATTCATATCCTAATACATGGGACATAGATGTTTTATATGCTTTTGGTTTCCCCTTTGATTATAATTAAATAGCGCAAGTGAAATCGACTCTCAAAATTAATGCTTATAATCGATTCGGTTGATGAGAAGATATGCAATATCCATTAGCATATTTACAAACGTATAATAAGTAAATGAG